TCAGCAGGAGGTGCAGAAGGATGCTGCCAAAATGCTCTGGGACAAATATGTGGACAGTTCTCAAGGGCTTTGGGAGACAGGGTTGCAGAAAGCCTAACAGTTGGGCGATTGTCTCCTAGCAACCAGCACTGTTTAAGTAATCAGTAGTCATTCCAGTAAAGGTAGATCAGAATGTTTCAATTGTACTTACACTAACTAGATGATAAATAGAATTGGTTGTGGCCATATTTTTAATAGCATTTCATGGAGAAAATTTTCAACACACTGCTCAGTTTGAATAATTCAACTACTTTCTCTTTTTGGTGCAAGAATTTGAGATGAGAACTCTTAAGCCGTAAGAATCTTTTCCTAAGATTATTTTCAAGCCATAAGTATATTTTCCAAGTGAGGGTAATTTGAGCCATTTTACTGAATTTACTGACTACTGAGAGACAGAAAATTGAAAGATGTGAATTTTCTAGTCAGATTGTGCAGGATAGAGTAAAGAAAAGAGGTGCCTGTAATTGTCCCCTCATCTTGTGACTAATGACAACATCAAAGATCTGTGCATTTCATTTCAGTTTTAGCAATGCATGTAATAATTATCATCACACTTGATCTGTTGTCTTTTCTACTCCCGAATGAGTACTGGGAACCTATTTTTTTCCATGGTATCTCCTCTTTTCTCCCTTCAGAGTTATGAAACACTGGTCAGACTCTGGATTTCAGTGAGTTGTTTGGCTAGATAAATTCCTCAGAAGGCCAAAACACAGGAATATCATTATCTGCATGCATGCAACAAGAACCTTATGTAAAGTAGAATTATGAAAAAGTCTCAGCAATAACAATATAATTTAAGTTTATACTGAGAAATGGTACTTCGGGGAGATGTAGATCTATGTATGTACACACACACACACACATATACATACATATATATTATATACTTATGCACACATACATAATATATGTCCAGTTGATTTGAGAAATATTGTATTATTAAAATCACAGATTTCCACCATGTATACCAAGTATACTTTATATACAAAGTACTTTAAAGGATTCAAATACGTTAAGCTTTAAGCATGTCCACAATGTAAAGCAGAGATCAGAAGAATCTGAAAACAACCATAATAAACGAAAAGACGATAATCATTATTAAGAATTCATTTGATTCCTGGTGCTGAGCATGATACACTCAGTTTCTAATCTCATCAACTCTAAAATTTAGTTATCAAGGAGCTGTTAAACTTATTTCTTTATTTAATACCCACCTCAGCTCTAGCAAGTGGATATTATTCCTATTTTACAGACAATAAAAATGTGCCTTTATGGGGCTAGGTCCATGGTTTAGTGGTTAATGGAGCCAGACCCACATGGCTGATCATGGTTTGAATCCTGGCCCTGGCATCTTGAAAAACACACCGGGCATGTATGGATGCAGGCCCCAAATCCTAACACAATGGAGAAAGTGGAGGAGAAGGAATGGCGGTGTCACCATACTCCATGGTGGAGGTACTTTCTCCCTTTCCCCCTCTTTCTCTGGCTCACTGGCTCTCTCCAGCAAGTGCACAAAAAGGGATTAAAAAAAAAAAAGCCTTAATGTCTATTCAGTGTCCCAACAGATAGCTCAGAAGGACTACAAAGTGGCAAAATTCTTAATTTCATTTTGTTCTTACTCCATGGTTTATTTATTGTGAATGTCAGACTTTGTAGACAATTTTCTTTAACTCCATTTTTAAGAACAAAACCATTCTTATTCAGACTTCTTTTTTCTTTAAGTGCGGTTATCAAAGGTGTTCAGAGCTGATTATGTAAACGTACGTGTCACATGAAATGGAATTTAATAGCATGCAGTTAGTCTTCTATTCACATTCCAGAAGTTCATTTGAAAGTCAATTTTGTGAATTTCAGGTCCTATTTTTCTCATTGAGACTACATTATCCAATTTTTAGGTCAATCACAAAAGACTTATTTTAATACATAACATAGCACATTGCATAGTAGTAGTATTTTAGATCCAACTAAACAATATTCACCTTGGTTTTATGGACCGTGTTCATCCTGAGATGGATGGAATTCATTTCTCCCAGTCCATGCAGCTGGACAGAGGGGAAATGAGCTCTAAAGCACTACATTGTCCTAAATGGAGTCACATCATATCTCTGTGGCAGCAAATTAACAGCTCACTAGCTCTTCCAGCTCCCTGCTTTTTGCCAGAGGACTTCCCTTCTTTAAGCCTATTATCAGCATATAGTGTAACGTTTCAAAGCCTCTCTGCTGTGATTTAGGAATCAAAAGATAACTATTGTTCCAGGCTCTACAATCCAACTTCCCTTCCTATTACATAATACATAAGTCACTTTGGGGGTTCCATTTGGAACATTCAGTGGTATCTTTTGATTTTTAAGAAATAAATGGTCAAACTATTTCTCATTTTTATTCTTTATATGGTTTTCATTAGTCTCTGCATCCAGTTTTCATTTTGGAAAATTATATCATTTGGAATATTGATTTCTATAATCTTGGTCCTCAGCCATGCCACATGAAGGCAGAAATAGAAATTGTAGAGTGGTTCTCTTTGGACTCCAGTGTAAGAGTTTCTATAACTAGGCTTAATGGTGAAAGTTAACTAAACGCAGAGTTTTATATAAATATTAGTATCTATGTTTTCAGGAGAGAGATTCTCAGATTTTATTAGATTTACGAAGATATCTCAACCTCAAAAAAGATTAAGAATCACATCCAGAAAGTTTATTGTTAGCAGGCGAAGAAGTGTCAAGTCATTATTTCATTGTGGAGCCCTATCTGTAGCAGTCTACCACCATCAGTTCATGAAAATTCAAGTCCCAATTTCCTGTTTATATTCCAAATCCTAAGCTCTGCATCAGGAATCATTCAGAAAATCAGACATCCTGTTAGACATCCAACATAGGTGATTCTATCACATTTGACCTAAACCAATTAAAAGTCTTTTAAAATGATTTCTCTCTGATTTTTGAGTGAAGAATTTCAGATTCCGAAAGAAAGTTAACCTACTAGAAATAGTCCTGAAACCGTTGTTATTTCTAACATATGCCCTATCTAATGAAACTCATAAACTTTGTGATTTTATTTAAAATATGCTGATTGAAGAACCTTGAAAGAAGTATAATCTTTAGGCTATGAATTAACTGAAGTCTCCCATGGCGTTCCATCCCTACCTCTGGAAAGATAAGATACATTACTTAGTTATTCACTGTTATAATTATCGCTGCTGCTAAAAATGGAAGAGCTTCCCCAGCTGTTCACCTCAGCTGAAAGCAGAGCATAGGGGAATAAATGAATTTGCTCATCAGCTTGAAAGATAAAATAATTAGATTATATCATAGTCTCCAAGAATTGAGCTCATAAATAATGTCAGGTACTGAACAGAACACTTTACATGCGTTGTCACATTTCATCCTCACCATAATAATGCAGTTGTTAACCCCCTTTCACAGGTTCAGAGCCTGAGCCCCAAATCACACACCCAGTAAATGGCAGTTGTCTGATTCCACAGCCCACTACATGAGAGATCAGACGCCTTCATTTCCTGACAGTGGCAACTTAAAATGTAGAATGTGTTGCCAGAAAACTTCATGAAAGCTTTTTCTTTCGAGGCCAGACAGTGAGAGTAGGGTCTAAATTCAACTAATAACTTTCTCTTTAAGAGGAGAGGAAAAAAAAGTTAAGATGACCTCACGAGACCACAGTCTTTTCTGCCCTTGAAAAAAAACTGCTTGTATAGGAAGAGTCCTAAAGAGTGTTCGAGTGGAAAACCTGACGGTTACAGCAGAGACAAAAGAAGACCACGCTATCGAAGAGGAAAGGTTTCTCGCGATTAGTGCTACAGTTGTCAAACACCACTGTAGAAAAGCATTCCTTCTTTGTAGGGGTAGGGCCAGAGGAGGACACAGGGTTTCCCACTAGAATGATGTGAGACAGATCATCTGTGTGAAATGGGCCTGGGCACTGCTGCTGAGGCCAAAGAGGCCTTAAGGAATCTGCTGAGCGAGGGCTGGTAATGGGAGCTGTCAGCCCGGAAGCCAGGGTGTGTTTTGCACTCCAGAGCTTTATTCATTTCAGTATTGCAAAAATATGCAACCAACGCCATCACTCTCTCCTAACATGTTGATCACCTCTTTCTCTTCTTCACTCCCAAGTCTTCAAAAAAAAAAAAAAAAAAAGATTATTTCAAGAAGAGACTGTTGACTTTGCATGCTTGAACAGCCCTGAGGAGGTGGGGACAGAGCTACTTGTGGCCGGGCTGCCTGCGAACACTGACTGGCTCTGAATTGCAGGTTCTGTCTCTTTCCTCATACCTTCCGATGGGGCCTGCAGGCATTGTTCGGACCCTCGAGGGATACTGAGAGTGAATTTTACTGACTTAGGTTGTTTACTTGTCTTTTCTTAATCCTTCCTCTGACACAAGAAAACTGGAGATTATTACCACCAAGCAAATATTTTTCTGGTAGGACATAGAAGCGGGAATTGCTTCCTCGAGTTGATGGATTTGATTGTTATTCTCCTACTTCACATAAAAACTGTCATGTAGAGTAAGTGGAATTTAGTAGTCTTTTCAAAGAGTTGGTCTTTTCCTAGGTTGGATCTTCCTGGTACGTCTTATGCCCTTTCTTTTCTGAATTTGATTTGCCACCATTGAAAATTATGTATAGCAGATGTGACCGTCTTTCTCTACCCTGAACACTTCAAGCTGTGCTTTTCATTGCGTCTTTAGCCAGACCCCTCATCTTCCTCAGTTCTCATTGGCGGTCCTGGGAGCACAAATCACCTCTTCCCCTGCGTCACTGAGTTCCCTGACCGCTTTGACTTTCCCCTGTTTGCTGCTGTGGTTTCTGAATTGCATGTGTCTGATTTGCCTTTTCCATGCCTCTGCCATGGCTGTAGGATTTCTTTGTGAACAGTCACTCCAAGCAGGTAAGTGAGCCATTCCCTGAACCTTGCTTAACGTAAGGCCTTAGCCCACCATATACTGGAAACTTCTTAGTGAGCCTGGATTTGTAGTTGTGTTTATTTGTAGTCAGTGTAATGCGGTGCCAGGTCATTCCACCTTGATTTCCAACTCTAACTGACTACCTATAGGTACGCTTGAATCTCAGCACAAGAGACTGCTGGCATTTGATCCCAGAGTGCCTCATAAATTCCAGATTGCCTTTGTTTCCTGAAATGTTACATAGTACCCGAGCTCTCTGGGTTTCTTACATTTTTAAAACGCCAAAATCCAATCTTTTATGGATCCTGACTGCCAATAAATTAGATTTGCTGTTTATCAAGGTAGTCTGTTTTCACCTTGAACTTTTTATTATAATGAATACCTCTGATGCCCAATTTACTCAAACAATATTTTATGTGTAATTTTTGTTCTTTGTTTGTTTTTTGAGAGTTTTTTGCTATAGGGCGGGTGCACTTGCCAGAAAGACAGAGAGAGACAGAGAGGCAGAAAGCGAGAAATCTCCCTCCAGGGGGGATGGCCACACCACAATCCCTTCTCCTCCATTCTCCTCTTGGAATCTTGGGCACACAAGCACACATGCCTGGCATGAGTTTAAGCCACTGGGTCTGGGACTCGAACCGTGGTCGACTACATAGCCATTATGCCAACTGCTGGTCCCTATGTGTAATTTTTTAATGCCTCTTCAACATATATTATGACTGGCCATCATTGCTTAGAACTTTTTGTACAACAGTAGGATATGCAAGTAATATTGTATTGTTAATTCAGGTGACTGACTAATACGTTGAACTGCCCCCTCCCCAGTTTCTACCTAGGCTCCATGGTAATGGAAGGTCCTATCTGCCTTGGGACTTTCCTGTTACACATGAAGACATTTGGAAGTTTTATTGTTCAGCTCTTTTTGAGGGGTCAGGTTCAGCTAATTCTGGGGTAAATGGGCCCTGCAAATAGCTGGACAGGCAGTGACATGCCTTAGCTGAGCTTGATTTGTAGTGACAGTTCTCTTTGCTACCCATAGGGATAATTTATACACACTTAGCATCTTCGACTTAGAAGCACTTTGTTCTTCCAAATAATGCTTTTTTCAAATGTGGGTGGTCAGCTTTTCATGTTTCCCTTTGCCTACTACATTGTACCCTTTGTTTCAATTCCACCAAGTCCTCACACTCCCCACCCCACCATCTCAGCTTTGCCTTGTACGTATGTGCATATTGTGTGTGTGTGTGTGTGTGTGTGCATGTGTGTACAGAAAACGTAAAGTTAAAGTGTATATCTGAAATCTGAATGTCACAGTTTGACTTTGATGGATTCCTTTTGTGCTCTTTACAGAAAGAAGCAGATGCCATTGATGACACACTGAGTTCCAAACTTAAAGTCAAAGAGCTTTCGGTGATTGATGGTCGGAGAGCCCAGAACTGCAACATTCTCCTATCAAGGTATTGTTGATGTTCAATAAACACTTCTAGTAAGATCCACTTTTCTACTATGGAGCTGCAGACCTCCTGGTTGTGATTTGGGTCTTTTTTTTCTTTTTTTTTTTTTTCTTTCTTTTTTTGACACTCTTCTTCTCTGCTTGGGTGCAGTTCTTTGGGTTCCCTTTTGTTGAAGGTGGGAAGATTTGATATTTATTTTCCCTGGAGGACTATATCATAGTCAGATACCTACTTTCTTAGAGTTTAATTTCCAGGCTTATAAATCTGGAAGCAAAACATCCTAAGTCAATGTTTTTAGTTTGTTTTCCCCTGAGAGACCTGTAAAATGGATTTGCTTTTATTTATATTTCTTGGCCTTAGAGATATTTTGGTCACTGAGTCACAGAATCAGGACCAGCAATGAAGACTCTGTTTTATTCTGCTGCCTAATGGTATCTTTTTATATTTCAAGGTTATATGATATCATGTTCTTTGTGAGCATTTTTACCTCTGAAAAGACATGTAAATCTCAAACCTCAGTGAAATGCTAATTTATCTTCGGCATTTCAGAAATCTTTCTCATAATTAGTGAACCATCACAGCATTGGACTTGAAAAGAGGGGAAAAAAAATATGGAGCCTGCAATCTGATGCAGCTTCAGGCAGGGTTGTCAGGTCCTTCTGGGAATTTCAAGTAGCTTTTCTGTATCTAGTTTCTTCTTTTCTCTAAAAAGGACTTTCACATAAAACAAAGACTCCTAATGCTTATGAAGGGAAGGAAGATGTAAAGAATCCTGAATGTAGTGCTTTAAAGATAAGTTACATTCTGGAAGGAATGTTGTCTATGCATGGAAACCTGTATAAGGTGACTCCTCATTCAGGGAGAATGAAGAGGAAAAGTATAGTCTGTAATCTTTATTATTTTGATAATCTTAGAATGAGTTTCTTCTAACACAAAGAGCTGCTGCTTGATTTTCAGCATGGAAGCTTGATTGTTAGCAAGATATATATTACTTGAGGGAGCAAATGTTTCTTTTAGTGAAAGAGAAATTGAATCTGGGTGAGATCCCTGAATTTTAATGTAACTAGTATGGTAACGTGAACCATCCTGTTAGTATTTCATTTCTGCCTGTGGCTGGAAGCTGTGTAAATGACCAGGCTTTGTACTTATTCTGACTTTTGCTCCATGAACCATGCTCAGTTAGATAAAATATCTTTCTGCCTTGGGAAAGTACCACTGAAAATAATTTGGAGGACTACTCGTTTTCCTTCTCCAGTGGAGGTAATTTGTTTTGTTACCTTTGTACAAGTAATAGTCATAGCAAAATTAGATGAATATTTGGGAAAAGTTGATTTTTAAAAAACTGTATTATTTCTCCTTGTATTTTGTGCCTTACCAGTCCAGGTGAACACTTTCAAACAGCTTGACAGAGGGAGCTGTCACTGAATTTCTGCAGTGTTGAGATGCTTGTAGGAGTAAAAACCGACCTAGTTCCTCATAGACACGTTATTCTCAATGCTCAGTGCCAACCAGGGAATTATACTAGTTACAGATAAGATTAGCACTCTTTCTGGAAATGTTCTCATTTCATTTTAGAAGGAATTGTTTCAACTTTGTGGTGTGTCATTCCCTTCTTACTTCAAAAGTGTTAGAACCTAAGGTGACTTAAAACTAGAATGTAGAAGACAATTTTAAGAACTTGCATGTGTCTGTTAGATTACCTATTAAAATTCAATGTGCCGAATGAGTATTATCACAATGAACATAGTTATAACGTATGTTACTGGTAACAAGTAATTCTGAGTCCCAGGCAACCTTATATTAATTGGGTTGTACTGGCTGGGTTCTGAACCTTCTCTCCCACAGAAGATGCAGTACCACATTCTTTTCTGCTCAGTGATCAGTTGTTAGACTCTCTCATCAGGAAAGCACACAGCTGACGTGTTAAATGTGCTGTGGTAAAAGTGAACGAAATTAAGCAGACTTAGTGTGTATTTTATTTATTAAATTTTTTCAGTATCTTTATTTCTTCCACAAATGAGAGAGGTGGAGACGGGGGCGGAGGAGGCAGCAAAACCAACAGGCCTGGGACTCGAACCGCGGTCAACTATGTGGGAGTCCAGAGACACACCATTATGGCATCTCCAGGTCCCCCCAATAGGGTCTTGATGCATGGTGTCGTCCCAGACCCAGATCATGGTTATGCACATGCTGACACACTCAGAGAGGTCTCTAGACATGCACTGAGAACAGTTACCTCATGGGTCAGCCTCGCAGATCCACAACTATATGTTACCTCTGCCACTGTCGAGCCTCGTATTTTGTTTTTTAACCAGTCAGCCATTCACCTTTCATTCTCCTCTCTTCATCAGCGATTCATTGCTGTGCACGAGGAGCTAGAGGCTGACAGCAGGGAAGAGACATGGGAAAGTATGTTTGCTATGTTTTCTTCGCCGCATGTTTGCCTGGCACTGTGCTTGGAGCTTTGGAGGGTACCAATGTTTAAAACAGTGCTCTTGCCTTTGAAAGTACATGGCTGACTGGAGAGGAAGAACGACACATGGGAGAAGACTTGTGCATAGTTTAGGGCTTACACTGGTCTGACTGGAAGAAAATGGGAACTCACTGTGTAAGAGAAGACACCAGCTGGGTTTGCCATAGAAAGTGGACCTTCGACATGAACAGAGGGCATGGGGAAGGCCGTTCCAAGGAGGCATGTGACAAAGACATGGGAGGACCAAACATAGTTACTGGAATCGGCCCTGGGATCGCTGCAGACTTGCTGTTGTGTTGAACGACACCAGGCAGCAGATGCATGTTTGTCTTTCTGAGGGCAGGTGCGAGCCCAGGGTCATAAGCTACTCATCTATAGAAGAGTGACTGGGGAAGCAGAACTTTCCAGTGGGCTTGTGAGAATTCCACCTAGTGCATGTGAAGGCCCTGGCAGGGTACCTACACATAGTAATTGCTCAGTTAATGGCTGTTTTATATATCCATGGGATCAGGAATCACTGTAATTCATGCAGGAAAAAAATAGTTTGTTTTTAATAAGTCCTTCGGGAACTTTCAGAACAGGGTAAAAAGAGGTGAGAGCTGGAGGCAAGGATAGACATCTAATAGAAATCCCTTTCTCGTGTGTTTGTGAGACTTGATGGGTAAAATTGAGAGAGACAGAGAAACCCTGATAGGACTTGAAGACTGATACTGTGCTCGGGAACAACTAGGAATGTTTAAAAGATGATGTCAGGATTCCTACTTTTCCACACTTACTATCTCTTATGTCATTTCTAAAGGCTAGTGAACTCTGTTTCTTATCTTGCCAATTGAAGATTTTATTTCTCAGTAATGCGGTCACTGCGCCAAAGTCCACCATGATGGAAAGCTGTAGCATATTTTGAGGGCTGTATTTTAATGAGCACATGTGTTCAGAGTGTTTGGTTATCATTTAAAAACTCTTCTTCACATGCTACGAAAGTTAGTGCACCCTGTCATCAAGGAGCACCTACCTCAGCCATCTGTAGTCCAACAGGCAGTTGGAAAGAGCCCAGAGCAGGGAGGAGATACAGGCTTCCCTCATGCATGGGTGAATAGGGTATTACAGGGTGAGTGGCCATTGTCATTCAAAACTCTCAGCAAGAAACTAACTTGAAGATGTGAGTTTGAATGGGAAGCTCCAGGCCTCCAGGAATGGTGCCTTTCACAGACTTGGGGAGAGAGTGGAATAGACATGACATACCTTAGAACAGAAACTCCTGATTCCTCAAGCCTTCAGCAGAATTTCTACTGTGTATATATGGGTGGCATATAGCAATTTAAGATTCACTATTGTATTCCCTAAAAACAGACCTCTCCCCTCCAGGGGGGGAGTAAAAAAAGAAAAAAGAAAAGAAAATTTGGAAGCAGGTTTATATTACAAGGTGAACCCACCTAAAATACAGCCTTATGAAGTGTTATGCCATTCTTTTTTTCCAGATGCTCACTTGACATGGCAGCCAGGATGTAGTAAACCACAAAAGCTACTTTAAAGTAGGGGGGATTTGGCTTAAATCCACTGGAGCAGAGCTAAGGCTGATTTAGCCATCCATTCTTAACTTCCTTTAATTACGCCTGGATGTTCCGATTCTCTCGGCAAATTTTTGAAATACTTTAGTAAAGCGAGGTAGAGTTAAATACTATCTTAAGATGGCTAGTTTGTTTCCTGCCTTGTAAAGAACGTTGAAAAGGATGTCTCAAAATTTGCCACCCTCCAGCACACCAGAATACTGCCAAGCTTTAAAAGCAATTAAAGGGCTAGAATTGGTAGGGTCCTTAAATTACGGAGATTAGAGGCTCATTCTGTGGATGACAGATGATACTAAGAACTCTGCAACGGACAGAACCATCCAGAGGGCAGAATTTCTTTTTCCCCTTCCCCCTAAGGTAGGGTTTCTTTGTCTGATCCAACAGGCCACGTGCAGGGCGGTATGTTGACAGGTAGATTTTCTTAAGTACTACTCATTGAAGTCTAGAGTCTCTTTGTGGGCTGCATTAACAGAAACCAAAATTGTTAGGAATTAGAGCTAGTGTTTAGTCCAGACAGCCTCTGGGGGCTGAGGAGCATAAATATATATAATTTCAAAAGCAAGAAGTTCTGCACTCCATATGGGAAGCTAATGAAATGCAAATCTGATACTTTAAGTATTGTTCTCACTCTGATTTTCAACTCCTTTTCTTTTAAATGCAAAACAGAAGGACTCTGCAGAACTCTGCTATAAAATGGTTTCTTCAACACTGTGTGAAAAGGACACAGAACTAATTTATTCCTTTTCTTATAAGCAGCGCTCTTCTCGTGGTGATTATAGATGTTTCCTCAACCAGTTGGTTTTCATTAGCAGCAGTTTCAACCTTCCCTAATGTTACATTCCCTGGCTTTGCAAGGCCATCCCATGGTGTTAACACTTAAATGGAGCCATTAGTGTCCTGGAATCCTGGGCTACCAGGGAGCAACTGAGGCCTCCATATTATGATAGAGTCTTTCCTCTGTGGTATACTTTACCCTGCCAACTTGGGTAAATGATTCCATTTAAAGTGTAGGGGTTTTCTATGGCAGTGTTCTGGTCAGCGTGTTCACAAGGCAGTGATTATCCCAAGAATGGCAAAAGCAATGTCAAGAAATCTGCGGGACCAGGGTTACTGCATATGACATAGCATTATGATGGCACAGCAACTCAGACGAGGTGATAGAATAGATCTTATTTGTTAACATGGGCAATTGGGCATTTTGCTTAGATGCCTTTTTTGGACTTGAGAACAAGAAATAGAAGTGAATGGTGTTAGTACAATAGGATTCCCAAATGTGTTCACTTTTCTACTTATTAGGGCATGAAACAACATTTAGTTTAAATAGCAGGGTGAGGACCAACCAAGTGGCTTGGTGGTTAAGGTGGCTGGAGATTCCACGTGGCCAACTGCTAATCTGAGTCCCAGATAAGGCAGCTTAAAAAACTCACTGGGCACATGTGCCCAAAACTCTTCAGAGGAGAATGGAGAAGGGATTACAGCAACATGACCATCTCTCATGGGGAGTGATTTCTCACTTTCTCTCTCTTCTGTTCCCTATAGCAAAGCAAAACAAATCAGAACAAACAAATAATACCAGAGCGGGTGGTTTTAACAAAATCATGTCAAAATCTAGACGAAAGGATGAGACAGAGGGATCCACAGTGGGTGTGTTGTATCCAGCTTCCCCTGGCCTTTCCCCTGACTGCACGCAATTCATCCTTCCACTCCCTCAGCCTGCTTATTTACCTGTCAGACCATGGGCGAGTGTGTGTTTTTTATACCTTTGTATCCTGAGTGTTCAAGGTGACCATTTGATTCTCCCTTAAATGATAATCACCTTTAGAAACAGACTATGTCTTCTAATTCATTTTTAAACTTCCCAGACCTAATAAAAGCCATATGCAGAGAGGAAACGCTGGTGGAATAATGGCTGTGATAATGCCTTGGGAAGTGTTCAAAATAACCATCCTGAGTACTGTTGAATGATCTATTAGCTGCACAGGAATATTAAAGTTAACGAAAGCACTGCTACTGCTTTCTTTTTCTTTCTTTTTTTTTATATAAAAGTCCACCTGTAGAACACATATGTAGTTTATTGAACCTTTCTATAACTAGAAACTATGCTAGTTACGTGTGTGATTTTACTTACTCCTCATGCGTGCACATACAAACACACCACATCCTTTTTCGATGTAGTTGTTGTTATCCCTGTTTCACAGATGAGGAAACTGGGGCTTAATAAAATCTCTGTCAAAGGTCACACTGGTTAGGAAGTGTCAGAGCCTGGACTGAGACCTAGCCTATCTGATACCAAAGCCCCTACCCTCAGAAATTACATGTGATGTGTACGTGTCTTGCTGTATAGTTGTGTGTTTATTTGTGATTCTTCTTAAAGAACACAGGCTAAAGGAACAGGTTAAGTGTGTTAATATGCCACAATAGTGGCAGGTTGTAAGGCAGGAAGATTTGAAGTGTGAGTCTTGAGTCTAGTGCTTACAAATGGAACAGAAGACTAATTCTTTGTCATAGCTGATAGCGTGATTAAGATATTTGGCCCCAGTGAAGACTATTATTGCACCTAGCAAAAACGCACTTTCACAAGTATACTTTAATTACACTATATGAATGCTCATATTTTGACTCTTATATTTTACAGTCAATATTTTGTTATCCTGACTTCATTAAACCACACATCCATAATTAAGTTAGTAAATCATTTAAGTTATAGCAGATGGAATATAGATTTATGTTTTTCTTCTTACATCCTTCCCTGTGAGATATTAGACAAGTACTGTGCATATGTTTAAAGTTACTTAACTGTTTTTTTGACATTTATTTACTTATTTTATCCATGAGTGAGAAAGACAGAGACAGTACCCCAATAGGGTCTCAACACCACAAGCCACCCCAACTCTGTGCCAGTCCCAGATCATGGGAAAGCACATGCCTGACGAACTCAGGGAAGGCTCTGGAATTGAACTAGGAACCTTCCTGTGTGGGAATGCCTCTTGGGGCATCAACTGTTACTTTTCCACCACTGAGTAGTTCTAAATAAGCAATGTTTGTAAAAAGAATTTGGGGTTAGCAATCAAGAGTCTTGGGTCTATGGTTATGGCCAGGTTGTATGTTTGAACTTCAGCAAATCATATGATCATTCTGAACCTTGGTTTCTCTATCTACCAAAAATAAGATTGACTATCACAGTTATTTTGAGAATGAAATGAAATAAAATGCATGAAATCTCCTCAACTATGATATCTTTATATGTTTCATTTTGCAGTTTCATGAACTATTGTTCAACTTTTAAAAAATAACATGTATTTTCTAACCTTCTCAAAGTCCTTTTTTCTCTTTTTATAAGAGAGAGATTTTTGCTATAGGGCATGTGCACTCACAGAGACAGAAAGCGAGAAATCACTCCCCAGAGAGGATGGCCACACTGCAATCCCTTCTCCTCCATTCTCTTCTCAGGATTTTGGGTGCATACACACTTGCACCCAACATGAATTTAAGCCGCTGAATCTGGGACTCGAACCGTGGTCTACTATGTGAGAGTCCAGTGACATAATCATTACACCATCTGCTGGTCCCTCGAAATCCATTTTTAACCTGAGAGCTAATTATAAACACTACTGACATTTAACCAGGTCATAAATTGAGTTCTCTCCTCTCACCTGCAATTCATGTATACTATGGCTAAAAGAAAGCAATTAGGTATGGGTGTGTTCCCCATTTCTAAACTTGTAACCCCTCGCTTCGAGAAACTAAATGATAGAACATAGCAGCTTTGTCCTCAGTATCAACAGAGCATTACAAAGCCCCGAAAGAATGTTAAAGCAGATCTGAAATCCTGTTTTTAGATGCAGTATTATCAGTGAATAAGCTTTCACCAAGAAATTTGGAAAAAAAAAAAATAGTGTTGGTAAAATCAGCAGCTGGAGTAGCAGTATGAACTATGTTGTATTAAATTTTAGCACTCAAGCCAATAGTGTTAACAACAAAATAAAATATTCTTTCTTCAGGTTGAAATTATCCAATGATGAAATTAAACGGGCAATTCTAACCATGGATGAACAGGAAGATCTGCCCAAGGACATGTTGGAACAGGTGAGCTGCCAGATGTATCTCAGAGCAAAATGACAACTGACTTTCAACAGGGAGGGCACACTGAGAAAATCTGTTGTTGCTAATGGATAATTTACTCACCTCTGAGTGGAGAAGCTTGAATCAAGATTCCTTGTGGCTTTATTAGGGACTTTATGATCTGACCTTTCTCTCTTCATTCTTTAAAAATGCTGGGTGAGAAGGAAGATCATGAATATCTCAGATGCCTGGGACCACAGTGTCAGATTCAACCCTCAAGTTGTAATTCAGTTTCTATACCTCAGCAGGTCATATAAACCTACCAGCTGTGGTAGAAAATCTGTTTCACAGAAATATCAAGAATCTCACTAGCATTATGAAATCAGGTTGTACTGCATAAATGAACTTGTTACTAAGTTCTTAGTACAATTCATGTCTTGATCTTGGCTCACCATTCCCACAACCACAAAAAGCACTGTTAAACCCCAGCCACTGTCTTCTGTATTTAAATAGCTGTTTCATAAGGTGAGTTGTAAGTTTCTTGGGACTGTCTTGTCTCTGTACATTGACAAGTATGAGATTTACATGAGGTCAACACACATCTTTGTCTGTGGTTCTTGGATATAATTTTTATTATTCATGACCAAACAGATCATATAATATGATAAACTGCCCTTTTCATGCAGTATTTCGTTTCTTTCATTCATTTGTTCATTCGTTTATTTATTTAGAGATTTTTGCTATAGGGTGTGTGTGTTCACTAGAGAGAGAGAGAGAGAGACAGACAGAAAGTGAGAAATCACCCCCTAGGGGGTATAGCCATGCTGCAACCCCTCCTCTCGGGATTTTGGGCAAATACTTATACACATGTGACCTGTGTGAGTTTTAAGCCACTAGGTCCGAGACTGAAACTGCAGTCGACTATGTGGAAATCTAGCAAAGTAACCATTATGCCATCTGCTGGTCCCCTTTTATTTATTTTTTAAATTGTTTACTAGAGAGAGAGAAAGAGAACAAGAAAGTACCCCTTAATATGGTGTGGTCTTACTATAGTGTTTTTTCTTCCATTTCTCTGTCCTGTTGGGATTTGGGGCATGCATGTATACTTGCTAATTTGTTTTCAAGCCTCTGGAGCTGGGATTCAGACTGTGGTCAGCCATGTGGGGTCCAGCTCCTAATGTACAGCACTTAAGCACTGAACTGTAGGCCAGCCTTCTTGTATTTCTATAGCGTTTCTGTGTAGCCAGTCTGACTATGTTAGACTGAGTTGTTGACCATGTCAAGCTGAGTTGTTCAACAGCTTTGTTTAGCTGTCCCCCAAATTTCAGTATGGAATAGTAAGCTAATACATATTCTAGGGATTGTCACCTATCTCTGCCCTCTCCCTCTTAGTCAGGGCCTGCATTTTTCTGTGCTTTGTGAGGATAGTCCAGAAGGCTCTAACACTATCCTATCTTTCTGTCTCATTGTCCTTAAGATGGGATCATATTTTGAATGATTTTGGTCAAGAAGCCCACATTTTTAGAGCCAGTCTTTCTTATGGTTGACTATGGACAGAAGCAACTGTGCTTCTAGACTGGACTCAAGGCCTCGTCTGTAGCCATGCTGAGTTCCCAAGAGCAAGGGAGAGGGGTGTTTTTGCCCTGCTAACAGTGATCCTGGGTGGCAAGGCTGTTTCTGGGTAGATTGCCTGTGAGTCTGTGTGTGCATTTCCATGGTTCTCACTAATGTTCTCGAAGGGCTCAGACACAAAACAGAGAGGAGTCATATGTGGGTATCACCGCACAAACGGACCTGCCCCTCCCTGCACCCTCGGCAGCTAGACTTGTCCTGGGTGAAAACTCTCACACTTAACCACAGAAGGACTTTTCAAACTGCTCATTAAAGGTTTGATCCAGTTAGCGAGATAGCTGATGATTGTTCTCAGGTGTCCTTGGATGCTGTGTGTGAACATTTCAATTATTCCCTAAACCCGAAATTCAGGTTTTAGAGCTTTTCTAGCTCCTCTACCTCCTCCTTTCCTCCCTGTATTCCAGTCAAAATCAAGCCTCTGTCTGCAGAATAAACTAGGGGCTACGGTAAGGTGGGAATCTTGGGGAGATGTTGGTTAATGGACACAGAATTCCACTTAGATAGGAAGAATAAATTCTAGTGTTGTACAGGACAATAAGTGACTATAGTGAACAGTAATTCACTGTAGATTTCAAGATAGCTAGAAGAAATGACTTTTTTTAAACATTTATTTATTTACTTCTTCCATGAGAGGCAGAGAGACAGACATACAGACAGGGGGACAGGCTGCTCTAACAGGGCTCTCCACACTGCTCTCCATGCCCCGTGTCAGCTGGCCTGGATCATGGGCACCCATAGTGCTCAGGAAAGTCACTGGACATGAACCCAGGACTTTTCTCGTGAGGGTACAGTTGTGTTAACTGCTGACCCCCAAGAGAGGGTTTTGAATGGTCCCAACATTAAGAGATGACAAATAACAGAGATTAGTATGTAAATTATCCTGATTTGATTATAACACATTATATTTATGCACCAAGAAAGCATTCTGGGGACCAGCAGTTAGCGCAATGGCTATGTTGCTGGACTCTCATGTAGTCGACTGCGGTTTGCGTCCTGGACCCAGTGGCTTAAAACTCACACTGGGCGCGTGTGCGTGCGTACCCAAGATTCTGAGAGGAGAATGGAGAAGGGATTGCAGCATGGCCATCCCCCCTTTAGGGGGGGATGATTTCTTGCTTTCTATCTCTCTGTCTCTGTCTGTCTGGCGAGCGCACGTGCCCTATAGCAAAAACCTCTCAAAAAAAAAAAAAAAGAAAAAGAAAAAGAAACCATTCTGTAACCCACAAATATGTGTAATTATTGGGTCAAAAATACTAATAAAGGGGGCCAGGAGATCGCATGTTGATTAAGGTGGTGGATCCTCACATGGCCAGCTGCAGTTAAAGTCCTAGATCTGGCAGCTTAAAAATCATGCCAGGCATGTGTGTGTGCATGCCCAAAATCCCCAGAGGAGAATGGAAGAGAAGGGATTGTGGCATGGCAACCCCCCACCCCCCACCCCCCCAGAGAGTGATTTCTCAGATTTCCCCGTCTCTGTCTCTGTTTTACTCTTCAGTAAATGTGTATGCCCTGTGGCAAAGCCAAATAAATAAATAAATAAAATGAAAAATTAAAATCAGTACAATAAAGAATTTAAAATAATGAAGAAGAAGGAATAAAACAACAAGAGTTTCTGCCTGGGAGAGTGGCGCCCGGCTCTCTGCCCCTCCCAGCTTCCAGGTAACCCTGCGTTGACATTAGCTGCATCAGATGCTAGATCAGAAGCCACTAACCTAGAGCGAAGAACTATGTGCAAAGCTGCTGTAGTCCTTCTGCCTTTAGCCCCTATCAACAAGGTCGTATGTTTAAAATTCCACAAGATCTGTTTACTGTGAAATTACATCCAGCAAAGTTCCTCCTTGAGGGAAAGGATTTCAAAATCTTGCCAAAAGGGCTTGCAGTGCAAATAGAATGTACTTCAAATAAATACAACTAAGAAAATCAGTCTACTGAAGGAGAATCCGGCCAACGCGGGTATTTTTGACCTGATCTCTCCTCATGATTTTGTGTGTCTCATTCCCATCATCTCCCATGCTCTTTCTTTTCCTTCTCACTCCACTATTCTTCCTCTGCTTCCTTTTCCTTCATAATAACGTTCTTCCCAGAAAATTGTTCATGCAGACACCTCCTTAACTGCTATTTACAATTTCTACTTGAGCCACATTCGTTCCTTCTTTTGCTTCTTGTAGCTGCTGAACTCAGAGATCTCAGATAAAATCTCTACACTCCTCTTTCGTGGAATTCATACCTTTCTTATTTTCTTTTTTTTTCTTTTTTTTTGGCTATAGGGTACATGCGCTCACCAGAAAGACAGAGAGAGACAGACAGAAAGCGAGAAATCACCCCCCGGGGGGATGGCCATGCCATAATCCCTTCTCCTCCATTCTCTTCTCGGGATCTTGGGCACGCACGCACACGCGCCCGGCGTGAGTTTTAAGCCGCCGGGTCCGGAACACGAACCGCGGTTGACTATGTGGGAGTCCAGCGACATAGCCATAACACTAACTGCTGGTCCTGATACCTTTCTTCTTATTTCCAGGTGTTTGCCTAACTCTTCATTCCTGTCTTAAACTATCAACACACAGTCTGCTACTCAACTCTCCTTTAAGAGGGGATTGAGTCTTTAGCATATGCCTGTTAGGGTGCTCTTACAATTAGCAAAAGAGACATAGTGATTATGTTATCCTGATTGGACTGTGGGGGGCTGGTGGCGGAGCTTACGTAAAATGGTGAGAGAGCCCCTAAGATTAGAACCCAGTTTCTTTGCCCAGAGGGTAAAAAACCCAAATCAAGAGGAAGAAACAAACCTTTTTTCTCTCTGTCTTCCCCTTCTGCTTGTCCTCCCATGGCCCTTCCCTCCTGCACTGAGGAAGAATAAGCGGATACACATACTATCCAGGGTGACCATCGCCAACACACAGAAATGCCTAGAAGCCATTGAGCCACCCGACCTGTGAACTCTCTGGCATCTCCTTCCATCTGTCCTTTCTTCCAACCCATTAGAACAAAGGGAGCATCCGCCGCCTCTGTTCTGGCCCCATCCCTTTCTCTGTGCAGGGGCCTAGCTGGCCGACTGCTCCTCTCTAGATCTTTAGCCTCACCCCCTCAACTCTTAGCCTTTAACTCTTAGCTTCACACAATCCACACCCCTCTTAAGACTCCATGTCCCCAACTAGCTCATGTCTGCTCTTTTTTCTGACACAGCCAGAGTTCTTGAAGCTTGTCCAAACTTATCTCTTGTTTATGCTTCAGCTATTGCAGTCTGTCTTCCCGACCTCCATAAAGTAGCTCTCACTGAGAACACTTCCTGTGCCAAAGCCAGGAGGCACTTTGTAGCCCTTCTCTGTCTTGCTTTCTTGACAGTATGTGACACTGGTGGCCACGTGCTCCTGGTGTGACACAGTGGCCTCTGGCTCCGTGATGAATGCTTTCTTCCGCTGGCCCTGTGATGCCACGTGGGCCTCTCTGGCTGCACCTCCTTGGCCTCTTCTGAAAGTTCCTTCTCTTCCTGGCCTCACCGTTGAATGTTGGTTCTGCCCAGCCCTACTTCTTTTTCTTGACAGTGCCCCTGCTTATCTCACTCACATCATGCCTTCAGTTACCTGTTCCGACTAGCACCAGTGCTTTATCCTCTAAACAGATCTCGAGGGTTTCAGACCAACTCGTCCAACTGCTACTAGAAGTCACTACTTGGTTCTCTTACAAGTATTTCACACACCAAACTCATCTTTTCCTCCTCCATCCACCCTGCCCCAAACCCCGTGAATACTGTTACCTGAGGCAGTAGTGCAGACCTCATCCTTGACTCTCCATTGTCTACTACTGTCCATCCACAAGTCAGGCTAGTTCTGTTCAAACCCCCTGAATACTTCTAGAGTCTGCCTGTTCCATCCTAATCCACATTAATCTCTAAACTGTATTATTGCACCAGGTATCTAATCACAACCCTCTAATTTTTTTTTTTTTTTTTTTTTTTTTTGGTTTTTTGCCTTTTTTTTTTTTTTTTAGGTTTTTGCCATGGGGCATATGTGCTTTCCAGAGAGAGACAGAGAGGGAAACTGAGAAACCACCCCCCAGGGGGAATTTTCACACTACAGTCCCTTTTCCTCCATTCTTCTTTTGGATTTTGAGCATGCAAATACATGTGCCTGGCATGTTTTTCAAACTGTTGCATTCAGACTCAAACTGTGGAGTCAACCATGTGGGACCCAGCTCTGTATTCACCATGCTATCTGTGGGCTTCCCTCTGACAGTTTTGATTCCCTCTAATTCAATCTTCATTCTGTAAGCACATTGATCTTTCAATAGTGCAAACTCAGGGAGCAGCAGAAGACATAATGGTCATGTCGCTGGACTTCCACTTAGTTGACCACGATTTGAGTCTCAGACCCAGTGGCTTGAAAGTTACATCAGGCGTGTGTGCATGTTTGCCTAAAATCCTGAGAGGAGACTGGAGGAGAAGGAACTGCAGTATGGTCATCCCTCCTGGGAGGTGATTTCTTGCTTTGTGTCTCTCTGTCTCTCTGGCACATGCCCTATAGCAAAAATCTCTCTTACCAAAAAAAAAAGAAAGAAAGAAAGAAAAAAGTGCACCTCATTCCCCTACATAAGATCTGTAAGGCACATAAAGACTGAGCTTCAATAAGGCCCTGATTGCGCTCTGCTCTTGCCTATGCACCCTCAACTGCTCACCCTCTCCCACTGTCATCGCAGCCTGTCTTGCACCTGCATAGATGCTGTGCCCTGGGTTCCAGATCAGGCATGTGGTATGCACTCTGCCTGCAACATATTTCCAGCCTCCCATTACTTTTCTATAACTCCCCACGCCTCCCTTCCTGTATTTCCAGTTCTCTTTCTCTGTTGGTGACATCCAGACTGTCTTTTCTGCAGTCCTTCAGTTAAATCCAACAAACATTTGAAAACCTACTAAATGGACAGCTCAATATCAGCATCAAGTAATGAAGTAATAGAGAAGATCTCAGGGCCAGGGGATCAATGTAATCTAAAAACAAAAACAGAAACAAAACCCAAGGGCATTTGATCGAGGAAATAAAATGCTCACGCTGGCCTGAGCATACCCTTACACCGGTACATACCCTGAAAGGGTAAATCAGGCACATAGGAAATACTTTTCAGCTTTAAATATTATTGCTATTTCTTCCACATTCCATGTTCATTTCTTCCTCCAAAGTAATATAGGGATCAAAAACAAACAAATCCTGCTATATTCCTCTCATCTAACACTACATAGGCAAAAAAGGAGATGGAATTAGCTAAGCCAGAGAAATAAGTAAGATGAATGGAAAATACAAGTAGAATTACTCATTCCAGCATGACGTAATAGAAAAAAAGCGTAGAGCTGAGAGTCAAGGGACCTAAGTTCTATTGCTAATAATTACATGAACTTGCTTTGTAATCCTGTGGAGTTGCTTAATCTCTCCAGACCTCAGTGTATCATCTTCTAATGAGAAGATAGAATCTCTCAGGTCCCTCTAATGGTCTCTGCAGAGTGGGTCCTGATAGAGAACTTTCCAGTGGAGAGAAGGAGTAGGGAACAGAGGTGGCAGGAATGAATCTAATACCAATTTAACTTGAAGTTAAAACAATTTATCTTAACTTAAAAATGAAAAGATTTCATCATTTCTATTGTATCTGAACAGTTAGCTGTAAGTGAAGCTTATGAGTTAAACAAAAGTTAAAATTTCATCTTGGACAAATTAACAAAGTATAAAAAATCACTGCAGAGCTTTAAGTTGCAAACCTTGGTTTTAATACTTATGTATTTTTTTTAGCTCTTGAAATTTGTTCCTGAAAAAAGTGACATTGACCTGTTGGAGGAGCATAAACATGAACTGGATCGGATGGCCAAGGCTGATCGGTTCCTTTTTGAGATGAGCCGGTGAGTTTGAAGATGCTTGAAAAGTAAAGATACCTCTGACCTTTCTGAAGAAGCTAAACTTGTCGGGACCAGCAGTTAGCGTAATGGCTATGTTGCTGGACTCCCACGTAGTTGGCCGCAGTTCGAGTCTCGGACCTGGTAGCTTAAAACTCATGCCGCACGCGCGTGTGCGTGCTTGCCCAAGATCCCGAGAGGAGAATGGAGGAGAAGGGATTGCAACGTGGCCATCCCCCCTGGGGGGTAATTTCTTGCTTTCTGTCTCTCTGTCTCTCTCTGTCTGTCTGGTGAGCGCACACGCCCTATAACAAAAACTTCTCCAAAAAAAGAAAAAAGAAAAAAAAAAAAAAAGAAGCTAAACTTGTAATTTATGTTGAATTATTTGGGCCAGTTACACTGGCTCAACTTGAACCCTTTTTAGGTTTCAAAATTTTCTCAAGTCTGAGCTGTGAGGAATTGCATTGTTTGGTTTTTGTGAGTTCTTGCCTATGGGTGAGCCAAGGTCAAAGTTACTTCACAATTATCTCTATTTCTGGGCCTCTGACTCATTTGCTTTGGCCTAACCCAGTCAGAACTTTTCTTGGTTCCAGTCAGTGTCATTCTCCTCACCATTTTGATTTCTTGGATAGTATTTCACACTCCCTAATACCTCAACATCTCAAGGTTATTGTAAAATAGAGAGAGAGAAAAATGAGCAAATTCTGCCAGTGTCAATCTTGAGCCCACAAAACGGAACAGCCAGGGTCTAGATGTCAAATCATGACACATGCAGACATCATTAATCGATCATGGCACTTGGAGACTCACCTATGGCCGTCTTTCCATGGAGCCTGGGAAACTTTCTGAACGCTTCTCCAAAAAGCCCTGGGGCAGCCATTGCTTTGTAATTGGGGCTGGCATGTGAGCCGAGTCTATTTGCTGTCCCAGGCCTAGTGAATTGATTCTGAATTAGAGAAGGACCAGTGGTCCTGCAGCTCTCAGTCGACCTCAGGGCAGAGCTCTTCCCCTGGGTGCCACAGGCCCACAGATGTACCCAAGGTAAACGTGCCTTTCACTCTGTATTTCCATATGTCTGGAGTTACTTTTTGTTGTTGTTCCACCTCTGCTCGCCATTTTGTACACTACTATAAAACAAAGGATGGCTTCAAAATTTTGGCAGGTACACCCAACAACCTGAGTATAGACAGACAACGACCGCTTGCAATAGCTACCACATAGTAAGTGTCTGGGTTTTTGTATGTGCCATCCCATTTAATCCTGCCCGCCCTGCCTGGAGGACTTTTAGGGTGGGAAAACAAGACTCTGGAGGACTTAAGGCACCTGCCCAGGGTCACCTAATAAGAGAAAAATCCATGGGACTAGCAGTTAGCGTAATGACTATGTCGCTGGACTTCCATGTAGTCGACCACGGTTCGAGTCCTGGACCTGGTGGCTTAAACTCATGCCGGGCGTGTATGCGCGCGTGCCCAAGATCCCGAGAGGAGAATGGAGGAGAAGGGATTGTGGCATGGCCATCCCTCTGGGGGTGATTTCTCGCTTTCTGTCTCTCTCTGTCTCTCTGTCTTTCTGGCGAGCACACGCGCCCTATAGCAAAAAAGCCTCTCAAAAAAAAGGAAACAAGGCTTAAAAAAAAAAAAAGAGAGAGAGAGAGAGAGAGAAATCCAGGCTGCTACAAACCCCAGCTAACCCAGATCTGTCTGGTTATGTGGCATAGTTTTACGGAAGGGGATGATCCCTGGTGCTACTAGGCTGAAATTTCCACTGTAAGCAGGTTAGGCATTGATTTCAGAAGTTTAGGGAGAGAATGCTCACTATAGCACCCTCAGTAACAGTAGCAGCATCTTTTGGTGGTGATCAGAGGCCCGTGAGCTTCCCTGCTACCTCTAGTTGCTATCTTGGAAGGCAGAGCTTGCCAGCCCTGCAGAGAGCAGGAGGCAGCTAACCGTGAAGAAAGAGGAGAGTTTGGGATTGCGAATGAGGAGAGGATGATGCAGGGAGAGGATGTCAGAGGCAGGATTTTACTTTACAGTTTTGACAAAGGAAAAACTTTGTGAAAAGTTAAGAAACTCAAGAAAAGTGTAGGATGTAATAGAATGTACTGTAATATGTAATAGAATGGGGAGTCTTTATATTTGCATTCCTTTATCTCTTTGTTCAGAGGAGCTCTCCAGACTCTTGTCAACAGCAGCTGGCTCTCACGTCTTTTAGCCGTTGCTTTGTTTGATTAGAGCTACTATTCCATGAGTAGGTCAGACAGAAACGGGCTGTCCAGACAAAGCTGGCCTCGTGCCCTGTCCTCCTGTCCTTGACAATAACAGTTTTGTGTGTGTGTGTGTGTGTGTGTGTGTGTGTGTAGGAGGTGTCACAAAGGACCTCTGCCTTCATGCCCATTAAATGAACATAATATTATGAAGTATTAATTAGTCCATATGCTTGCTCTTACAGAATTAATCACTATCAACAAAGGTTGCAGTCGCTGTACTTCAAAAAGAAGTTTGCCGAGCGTGTGGCAGAGGTGAAACCTAAAGTGGAAGGTAAAGCCAAGCCTACATTGGACATGATATTTGTCTTAAGCATCCATTTACAAATTCAATCCACATTTACATAGTAAACAGGATCCCTTTGTTTTGTTTTCATTATTGTTGTTGTTTGCTTGAAGCCTTTTGAAATTCTGCTGGATAATTTCGCAGATCAGTGCTTGGCATGCTGGCATGGCCCTGGGCTCTGGAGCTCACAGCACACCTCTGCAGGGTTAGGCTTTTCACCACGTGGGTGTTAGTGAGAAATTCATTTGACCTCTACTGGCATTAAACCTGTAATTGGCTTTCTTGCAGCAGACCCCTCGTAGGTTTTTTTTCTAAGGACGAATTAGAGGTTGGTTTGTGGTTTGATTTGGAGGCTGTTAAATTTTTTAGTGTTTGCAGTGTGGGTGAGGCAGCTGGTGAGCACAGCCACAGCAGGCAGGCTAGCATCGACATTTACTCCTGCTCTGATCCCTGCTGTGACACCTACAAGCTACAACATGTAACAAGTGTGGCCAGTTTTCTGTCCATGGAATTGATCAGTACTTCTGTTAATGAGACTCACAACAGGCAAGTAAGTGTAAAGGAAGGTGGGAAATGGAACTGCTATTCTATTTCTAAATGTTTAAGACGGAGGGACCAGGCAAGAAAAGGACAGAGGAGGGTCAACATGTGGCATGGTGGTTAAACCACTGGACTCCCAGATGGCCGAGTGAGTCTCGGAACTGGCAGACTGAAAATCACACCAGGCGTGTATGTATGTGCCTAAAATTTCAGGAGGAGAGTGTAGGAGAAGGGATTGCAGTGTGGCCATCCTCCGTGGGGGGTGATTTAAGGACGAATTAGAGGTTGGTTTGTGGTTTGATTTGGAGGCTGTTAAATTTTTTAGTGTTTGCAGTGTGGGTGAGGCAGCTGGTGAGCACAGCCACAGCAGGCAGGCTAGCATCGACATTTACTCCTGCTCTGATCCCTGCTGTGACACCTACAAGCTACAACATGTAACAAGTGTGGCCAGTTTTCTGTCCATGGAATTGATCAGTACTTCTGTTAATGAGACTCACAACAGGCAAGTAAGTGTAAAGGAAGGTGGGAAATGGAACTGCTATTCTATTTCTAAATGTTTAAGACGGAGGGACCAGGCAAGAAAAGGACAGAGGAGGGTCAACATGTGGCATGGTGGTTAAACCACTGGACTCCCAGATGGCCGAGTGAGTCTCGGAACTGGCAGACTGAAAATCACACCAGGCGTGTATGTATGTGCCTAAAATTTCAGGAGGAGAGTGTAGGAGAAGGGATTGCAGTGTGGCCATCCTCCGTGGGGGGTGATTTCTCACTTTCCCTCTCACTGTCTTTCTCTTTGGCAAGTACACTTGCCCTAAGGCAAAAAAAAAACAAAACTAAAAAAGCTAAATAAATAAAATAAAAAAGAAATGCACTACAGAAGGATAGACTACATCTCTGGTCTGTGGGTATGCTCACCAGCCTTAGCTGGCTCTCCTTATTCCCTCGTTCTTTGCTTCTAGTTTCGGCCGATCATATATCTTCAATATTAGTTATGAGGTATGTGGTTTTAAGGTAAGTATCGCTGAGGAGTCTGGCTGTAATAGTTGTGTTTTTCTGTGTTTTGTATTAAAGCAATTCGTTCTGGTTCTGAAGAGGTGTTTAAGAGCAGTGCCCTCAAGCAGTTGCTAGAGGTGGTTTTGGCTTTTGGAAATTATATGAATAAAGGCCAAAGAGGGAATGCCTACGGATTCAAGATATCCAGCCTAAACAAGATTGCTGACACAAAATCGAGTATTGACAAGTGAGTATGGGATCTTCTAATACTTGGAGAATCTGGGTGCTTAAGTCAAGACATTAACTCGCTCCCCTCTCTGGTCCTCCTTGGCTCTCCTGACATTGCAGTCTCTGGTCTGGACTTCTCTGTCTCTCACTCTCTTTCCTCCTCTGACATTTATTCCTTTCCTACTTCTCTGGTTACCTCTGTATTCCTGAAGAACCTGTTGGACCAGTTACCGTTCATCCATCCATTTTCAGTTCAGGCACATCATCGATTCCAAGTTTTCTTTTATTGGTCCCGCCCCCTTTTTTGATAAACATATTTATTATAGCATCACATATGAAAGAGAGATCACTAATTATAAAAGTATAGCTTGCTGAATTTTTAAAAACAGAACACACTTGGGTTACTGGCATCCAGATCAAGAAACAGAATATTACCAGGGCTTTGGAAATCTCTTTCTGAGCCCTTCTGGTCACTGTCCCTCCACGGAGAACTGTATCCAGAGGAAAGAAAAAAAAAATTCATAACTTATGCTAGAATGTGAAGCTTGCTGAGAATTTAGGTTGTTTTCCTTTAGACACTGGAGCTGACAGCTACATGAAAAAATATTGTGATGCATAAATGCATTTTGGCTGTGGGTATTTGACTGCTTATATCCCAGACACATTAAAATGCTTCCTAGAAAGTGTGCATTGCTGCATTTTAGGTGAACAGATTCTTGTTAGAGACACTGAGATGTGCAAATGTTCCTGTGTCATTAACAGGTAGGGTCTTTAGGCATATCAACTCCCATTTCCCTGAGATTTTTGTTCCTCTGAGGTTCTCACTGACTTCAAAGGGACCTGCACAATTGTTTCTAAGGTAAGCTTCTCTGTACCCGAGTTCTTTTTAGAAATGTGGGTTGTTAACCCTAATTATTCCTCATTAATGAGGCTTTTTACCCTATATTTTCTATAGGGTTAGTGAAGCATAATCTTATGGCAATTCTGAGTCCATCATAGAAGAAATAAATGGCGTGTTAAGTAGTCATTTTTGCATTGTGTAGAGATAGATTAACAAGGAACAGCTGTTGTAGTATAGCCCTGCCACCTTATTTTTAATGTAAGCACTTGATCCTTTGCAAGCTCTTTCATATTTGGTTGTCACAATAGCGTGTGAAGTATACAAGCCAAATGCTGTCATCACCCATTGTCAGATTAAAGAAAACCTGAGGCCGGGTCAAATGACTCATTTAACTTGTCTAAAGTCACAACAAGCGAAGTATTTAGCCTTGCAGGTACTTGACACCTGTTCTACTGATCTGTCCTCTGGTTCTGCTATCATTGGATGGATCTTACGTGGAGGTCATTGTGAGGAAAGGCAACATCTTATTTGCATACGAAGAGCAGCCACCTTTTTGGGAATTGTGCTCTCTGTAACTACACACACAAAAGCAAATCACCCACCCTAGCACTACTGACTTACAAGGTGATTATTTGCTTGTTGAGGTTACTACAGAATATATCTAATGTAAAAGTCTTTTTAAAAAAATTATTTCTGAGAACCAGCAGTTGGTGTAATGGCTTTGTCGCTGGACTCCCATGTAGTCAACCGCGGTTCAAGTCCCAGACCCGGTGGCTTACACTTATGCTGGGCACATGTGCGTGCGTGCCCAAGATCCTGAGAGGAGAATGGAGGAGAAGGGATTGCGGTGTGGCCATCACCCCTGGGGGGTGATTTCTCACTTTCTTTCTCTCTGTCTTTCTGGTGAAGGTGAAGGCATGTCCCCTATAGCAAAAAACCTCTTAAAAAAAAAAAAAGTCATTTCTGATCTCTTTCTTTCTCTCTTATTTCTGCCTTTGAATATTTGGTCCTCAAATGTAGTACCAATATCTTATAAATACAGCACCTAGCAGTACTCTGCCATTAAGCGATCACTCAGTCCACGTCTGTTCAGTTCTAGTCACACCACATAGGTGGTGAGACAGTCAGCGTGAAGAGTGTATTCCCTCAGCACTGAACGCTCAAGTTACTGAAAATGAGCAGAGCATAATCAAATGTGTGGCTGTTTAGTTGTTCATTCTTCAATAATTTGTATTTAGTCAAATGAGTTGTTATTTGGATACCAAACAAATGTGGCAGGTGTGCCCTGGGTTAAGCCTCTCTACTGTAATAAAGGCATATATGGCTAATTAAGTTAATTGAGATGACTCTAAATAGCAGAGCATTTCCCTAAAATGAAGAAAATAGTGTTACTCTTTCTTGCGATCGTAGCTGGCCTTTGGCCTCCCTGCCCCTGCCCCTGCCCCTGCCCCTGCCCCTGCCCCTTAGATGAGAGGCACAAGGGCAGACAGGCGGGTTCTACACACAGCACAACTGAAAGGGAACATAGGAAAAGTAAGTGGCCAGAACGATTGGCCACTGTTATGCTTTGCCGGGCAATTATTTTCTGTTTATGGAGAGCAAGGAAGATAAAGGACGTTAAAAAGAAAACAATGTGAATCGATTGCTTCAGAAACAGGATTGTGTTGTCTCTGTGAAGTCACAGGCAGAGGTCACCACACATGGCTTTCCCTGTTGTGGGTAAGAAAGTTCTCTGACAACCCTGATTCACTTTGTGTAGAGGTGGGTGATGGTATTGTGATTTAGCAAAACTGCCGAAATTAGAGAAATGGTTTAAAGAAATGATTTGCAGTCTCCTGATTTGGGTCATTTCCACAGCTTAGGAGTTCCTCATTCTGACTGCACATTAGCAGAATCACTGGGTAGTTTAAAAAATACCCACCCATTAAAAAAAAAAAAAAAAAAAAAAAAAAAACCGGTGTGTAAAAAAACCCCCCCCATAAAAAAAAAAAAAAAAAAAAAAAAAAAAAAACCACCATGCCTGGTCCCACCTCATTCCAGTAAAATGAATTTCTGAGATCCAGGTGATTGTAATGTGTGGTGTAGTCGGTGACAGTGGGGCCAGACTCCCACAGCGTTGCCTAATAGATAGTGTTATCAGACACCACCTTTTCAATCCAGGTCAGTCTGAGTTCAGCCCTGTCACCACCAGAGACGGAACTGGCACCGCTAACTGTTGTCACTGCTGAGGGTGATACTAAAATTAGGAAGCAGATTCGCGGCCACGAGGGTATCATCTATGTGATTGCTAGAGTTATGGCCTACTGCCAGTTTCGCCCCTGGAAAAGAGGCTTTTGAGCTTTCTGACCACCCTTTGGATGAAACCTTAAATAAAAATGACCAGTAATTGCCGTCAGTGAGTCGCTGCTCTGTACTCTCAGGCTTGAGAATAGCCGTCTTCTTCGGTAGATTAAACATCCCTTCCTCTCCACCCACTCTACCCAACCCCATCCTGTTTGTTATGAGCTCACAGGGCATAGCCCATTCGGGACTTGACCCACGGTGAAGGTAAACTTGAGATTATCGTTATTGGCAGTAGTTCAGGTTCACTTCCTTCACCTGTCTAGGTGTTACCTAGATGTTTTTGGTTTTCTTTCTCTTATTGCCAAGAGGGCAGGCGTACGTGTGTGCGTGCATGTGTGTGTGTGTGTGTGTGAGAGAGAGAGAGAGAGAGAGTAAATGTGCACCTCCCTTCTCCCCATGGGGCAAGGTCACACTGCAATTCTTTTCCTTGATTTCTCCTTCCTGTAAGGATTTTGGACACACACACACACACACACACACACACACACACACACATATCTGTCATGCTTTTGAAGCCAACTAGGGTGGGATTCAAAGTACAGCCAATCATTAGAATCTAGCTCCCTTAACTACTGGGCTACGAGGCTGATCCATACACAGATTTTTTTTTTTTTAAGTTTATTTGTATTGATTTCTTCCATAAGAGAAAGAGGGAGACAACACCCTCAGCAGGATCTTGACACTGCAGTCCATCCCCAGCCTCAGCCAGCCCTAGATCATGACCAGTGCGCTCAGGGAGGGCTCCAGAAGTGAACCTGGAACCTCCTCATGTTGGTCAGCCTCACAAAGTATCTCTCTTTACTGGCGCTATACCACCACCTGGCCCCACATTACCCAGATTTTGAAGGATGCTCATGATGGGCCAGAAATGGAATTCTTATCCCCTTTTTAGAAAATGTATGCTTCTCAGGACCAGCAGTTAGCATAATGGCTATGTCGCTGGACTCCCATGTAGTTGACTGCAGTTTGAGTTCCGGACCTGGTGGCTTAAACTCATGCCGGTTGCGTGTGCATGCATGCCCAAGATCCCGAGAGGAGAATGGAGAAGGGATTGTGGCGTGCCCATCCCCCCTGGGGCTAATTTCTTGCTTTCTGTCTCTCTGTCTTCCTGGCGAGCGCAGGCGCCCTATAGCGAAACCCTCTCAAAAAAAAAAAAAAAGTATACATATTTGCAACATTTTACATATTTATGTAATACTCACGTTGATTCTAGCAGACCCTTTTCTTTAGAATTCCTGCCTGCAGGACCTCTATTTTTTTTTTAACTTAATTTTATTTTGTTTTAAGAGAGAGAGATTTTTGCTCTAGGGTGCGTGCACTTGCTGGAGAGAGGCCAAATGCAAGAAATTACCTCCCAGGGCAGATGCCCATGCCTCAGTCCTTTCTCTTCCTTCTCCACTGGGGATTTTGGGGACACATGCACACACGCCCAGTATGAGTTTTAAGCCTCTTGAGTCCAGGTCTTGAACTGTGGCCCTCTATGTGGGAGTCCAGCAATGCAACCATTATCCCATCTGCTGGTTCCAGGACTTGCTTTTTTTTGTTGTTGAGAGAGAGATATTTTAGATAGGGTGCATATGCTCACTGGAGAATTGGAGAGAGACAGAGAGACAGAAAGCAAGAAATCACCTCCCAGGAGGGATGGCCTTGCTGCAATCCTTTCTCCATTCTCTTCTTGGGATTTTGGGCATGCATACACACACATGTACCAGGCATGAGTTTTAAGCTGCCAAGTTCGGGACTCAAACTGCTGTTGATGACATGAGAGTCCAGCAACATAGCCATTATGACATCCGCAGGGCCTCCAATTTTTAAAGTTTGTGCTGGAATGTAGCATTATGGTGGGTTCTACCACTTGAGCTTTACAAATCATACGCAGATATTAACCATGTCTAATACTTTTCTTTAATTGTAGGAACATTACCCTTTTGCACTATCTGATAACTATTGTGGAAAATAAGTACCCTAAGGTTCTCAATCTAAATGACGAATTGCGGGATATTCCTCAAGCAGCGAAAGTCAAGTAAGTACTTATAATGAATTGTTTCAGTTTTTTAAATCACTTGGACTGTACATTAGCTCTTGACTTAGCATCACAGGAAGTGGGTCCTTCTGTTTGTTTTCCCCTGAAGAGTTATATGAAGTAAAGTTTGAATGGTATCCAAATCACTCAAATGTGTTACAAGGTTTAAAATATATATTCATTCTAGCCCCTCCAGGAGACTGCTGTATGCCATTTTTAACTTTCCCAAAACCTAATTTTCTGAGTTATTAAGAGTAAAGGAAAGGAATGCGGTTTTACTAGTACTTTTAAAAGGCAGTTCTAAATACAGGTAGGAGCGCCCTAAGTTAAACGAGGATCCATGGTTAAACAAATAGAAGACCTAAATGTAAGGCGTTGCTAGGAATTTTCACATGTGCACACTCCCAGAAACCAAGGCAACCCTTTAATGGGAAGCAGTCTTTATGCAAATCACGAAACTAAAAATAAAATGGAAAGTTGCCAAACTTTTACTGCAAACTTCACACCACGTTTCAGAAACTGGGGAGCAAGCAATTTTCTTTGCTGTTTTTCCTCCCCTTGGCTCTCTCTTCTTTTGAACATACATTTAAACTACATCTTTTTGCAGTGAATTTGAAAAGCATGATGAGCAGGCTAATTATTTCCTTCTGTTTGCAGAATTTGGTAGAAACATATTATGTAAGGCTTGGAATTAAAATGTTAAAATAAGTGAAATATTGGTAAGTTTCTCTGTATGTCATGAATTATCTGTGAGCATTGTTTTAATCCCTAAAGCTTAAAAGCCATGAAATAGAAGGTGTTATAGCCTAAAAACCAGGAATCTTTCTCTAAGCAGTAAAAATAAAAACTAAGTATTATAACCTTTAGACAAATCATGGTTGATGGAAATATCATCCATTACCTTGTAATATCAGTGTTACCAGAGCCTTAATGTAAAGCAGTGTGCTAATTATAAAGAGCACAATGTGAATGTGATTGTGGATAAGCCATTTTCTTTTGCTTTTTTCATAGGGAGCCAAGTACAGCAAGGAGATTTTTTCTACATAATTTTATTTTTCAACATAAGTTTTTTTTCTAATAATTTGTTGACATGGGTTTTTTTCTTGTGCGTGTGTGCAATTGAAACAAAAAATATTTTTGTATAGATGGGAGACATTTTTAGTCTGCTATGTTTTACCTGTAAAATGCACCTGCTGTCTATGGAAAACAAAAGGCATAATTCCACACTTAAATTCCCTAAGTTTAACATGCTATTGTCTTTCTGGGAGATCTGAACCAAAAGGGAATTTTTAACATTTTACATAAATAGTCCAGACTCCCAAGCATGAGGTATTAAAACCCATCATATATTTAATACATAGATGTCAGATATTAATTACTAAAATGTTGCTATTTACAGCATGACTGAGTTGGACAAAGAAATAAGTACCTTGAGGAGTGGCTTGAAAGCAGTAGAGACAGTGAGTATCTGTTTCTTGTTGTAATTCTTAGTCTCTAGTGCTAATGACTTCAGCAGATGAATTGCTGGTTGCCTTGCATGGAGTATGCCCAGGATAAACATCTATTGGTTTATGAAACAGAACTGCAATTACCAAGAAGCCAATGCAGGCTGTTGGTTAGCCTGGCAACATGACTCTAGGTAGCAGGACATTACGGCTGGGTCAGTGGAGCAGGAGCAGGGAGAGTGCCACCAGTTTACCTGTAACGTGGGACTCACTAAAAGTGAGTGGGTTGGGCCAGATGATCTTCAACGCCCCTCTCAGGTTCCATGTTCTCTTAATACAAAGGGTCTTCAAAGGGTTCATAGAAAAACATAGTATGAAAAAGGTATACATGAATTTCAATTTTTTGCACCAAAATAAACTTGTTTTTTAATTCCATTTTTCATGAACTTTTTGAGGTCCCCTGGTATATAATGTTCACTTTCAGCAGATCCATACAACTTCCCTGTCATCTTTGAGATGGTCCTTAGCAGGGAGTATTTACTGAACAATCTCTTGGGAGGACAGTCCTGGCTCAGGGTGAGGGGTTGCCCTCTGGGTGTTGCAGTAGTCAAGAACAGCCAGTTCCCTCAACAAGGCCTCATCCAGATAAGCACAGAGATTATTAAGGAGTCCTGAGGAAGAGGGCTGGAGGGAAGTCTGAAGGGCTAGTGGCCTGGAGGCTTGTGGAAACCAAAGTACTTATACTGAGTGTATTGGAGAAAGCTTCTCTCTCAGAAGAGAAGAACTTTGAGCTAAGGCTTAGAAGGAAGGTGAGGTCAGGGCCAGCAAGTGGCATGGTGTTTAAAGACGCTGGACTCCCACATGGCCAACTGTGCTGTATGTCCCAGACCGGGCACCTTGCTTTCTCACTTTCCCTTTCGTGCTCTGTCTCTTTCTAGTCAAATTAAAAAATAATAATTATTTATTTTATTTTATTTTATATTTTGTATTATAAAATAAAGTTAAATAAATAAATCTTTTAAAAAAGGAGGTTCTTATTTTTAAAAAAAGAAGAAGAAGGAAGAGGGGTTAACTTAGGTGCCTAGAAGAGAAGTCATCCCATACATGACAACCTAGACCCAGGCCTCAGGGGAAGGGAAGTGGATCAGGCCACTGGAAGCAGAGAGGAGACAATGGAATGAAATATGACAATGCCATGTGGGTGCTGCCCAAATGCTACCTCCAATGATGGGGGTCAGGGTCTGAAAGTCAGATAGCAGAGCCGTGTGCTGGCATCCTTGTCAGGAGAGATGCAGCTCCATTCTGTGCTCTGTGAAGGAAACTGATCCACAGACAGCTTGGAGAGGTGCCTCTTATTAGTGTCGTCCACACCATTTACCAGCAATGCCACAACCGTCCTTCCTCCTTTTCTCTTTTTAATTGCAGTATTACATCATAGAAAGTATTGAATTCTTTAAAGACGTGCCTCTAATGAAAATTTTAAAGTCACAAGGTCTAAGTTTTCTGGTTTCAAATTTTTCAAATTTATTTTTAACTGACATAATAATTATATATTTGAGGCCAGCAGATGGAATAGTGGTTACATTGCTGGACTCTCACATGACCGACTGTGGTTCTAGTCCCTGACCCATTAACTTGAAGATCACTCTGGGTGCATGTTCATGCAGGCCCAAGATCCCAGGGGGGAAGGAGGAGAAAGGATTATAGTGCGACCACCATCCCTCCTGAAGGGTGATTTCTCTCTCATTGTCACTGTCTCTCTATCTCTCCAGCAAGTACATATGTCTTAAGGCAAAATAAAACACTAAAGAAATAAAATAATAATAATCACACGTATATATGGGGTATAGTGTGTGTATGTGTGTGTGTCTGTGTGCACTTATTATTCACGATCGAGCATATGTGTGTGCAGGTGAATATGAGATAAAGAGGGATGAACACGCGTCACAGGGTCTGGTCACACTGCTCCAGCCTTGGGTACTTGCGCACATACCCAGTGTGTTTCAGGTCAACCAGGCTGGGGATTCGAACCACGGTTGCCATGCAAAACCTAGCTTCCTAGCACCTTACCACAGAACTGGCCTCCAGTGTGATTTTTCAGGATCGGAATGTAATGCGTTCTAATCGAATCAGGAGAATTTGCATAGCCACCAGTTCAAACGTTCACTAGAACTTAACTCCTCTCCTCTAAATGCAGTTTACATTGATTAACAGCTTCTCCCTATCTGTCCTCCATATTCTTTCTTATCTCTAGTAACCACTGTTGTACTCTCCAGTTTTTTCTGTTTGATTTTAATGAGTTAAGGAAGATAGGAGGCTTTCCTTTTTTTTTTGAAAGGGAGAAAGGGCTGTTTAAATAAAAGGAGATGAGTTGGTGAGTGAACTCTTCTGCCCAGTGGGTACAGGGATGCAGGGCCCATAGGATGCCCCTTCTCTGCTTTCACAGGCAGGATTGAATCCGGGCACTTGAGCCGAGGCTGGTTTTATAACCTTCACTCTGTTGCCCTTTTCTCCTGGGAGGAGGGAGAGGGCTTCTTTGAGACTAGCAGAGCAGTTGCAACAGCCCTGAGGCCTGATGATGGACACTCCAGCTCGTGCATCTGAGCAGGTTCACAGCAAGGGAGTTTCCAAGAAAGTTTTGTGTTTTGCGTAAAGGATGGTTTTTGCTGAAAGCTCTCTATCCGCTGGGTCAAATACACTGCGTTCCACTCTTCATAGGAAAAGGGGTACAGAAGCCCTCCTCCACCCCCGCCAGCAGCTTAAATGCCAAAGTGTAGCACTGTACGAAAACACTGCAAGGCAGAGCATGGCCTGTCCAAATATTTTTTATGTCCTAATTGTGCTTTGCACAAGTTGATTATATTCTTTGAAAGTATTAGAGATGAAATTCTTATGTAATTATACAGTAATGAGACATTTTTAAATGACCTCTCGTCTCCGCTTCCAACACACACATGGATGCATTTTCTAGGCCAAGTAATAGAATCGTGGCGATTTCCTCCATTCAGAGCCAGCCTCTTTACAAAAGTTTTCACTTCCTCTATTTCATTTGATTTTCCTGGTAATGTGTATATTGCCTTCTTTTCTAAAATGAAGAGATTGCAAACCAGAGCAATCATGTTTAAGAACCTAAGTAGTGGGGGAGCTAAACCAGCACCCCCAGCCTGTGATCCCCACTCACCACTTTGCAAATGTGTCTGCCAACACAAGTGCAGAAGAAAATGAGCGCAGGTCCGGTGAGAGTCAGCTGGTATAAGGCATAGTTGTCACTGAGACTCTGGCATCAGATGGACCTGCATTCACGTTTGGGCCCTATCACAGAGCAGCTACTTTGGGCAAATAATTTAATTCCTCTAAACTTGGGAACTAGCAGTTAGTATAATGGCTATGTTGCTGAACTCCCACGTAGTCGACCGCGGTTCGCGTCCCGCACCCGGTGGCTTAAAACTCACGCTGGGCGCGTGTGCATGCGTGCCCAAGATCCCAAGAGGAGAATGGAGGAGAAGGGATGGCGGCATGACCATCCCCTCTGGGGGGTGATTTCTCGCTTTCTGTCTCTCTGTCTGTCTCTGTCTGTCTGGCAAGCGCACGCGCCCTATAGCAAAAACCTCTCAAAAAAAAAAAAATTCCTCTAAACTTTATATTATGTCCGTACCATGGAGATTATGATGCCTCGCTCATAGAGGTGTTGTAGGTTTTCAGTAAGAACATTCATCTGGCAATGGTTGAAATTAGTGATTGAAATTTTGCTTGAATGATCTATGGACTTATTACTGTGGTAATGAAGAATATGGATAGCTAACAAGAAACTAATTGTCCTGCCTACCACTTACAAAAGCTGAATGGTATGGCCAAGAAGAAAAATGGTGCAGATTATATGTAAATAATATTTTATACATATGAGTGTGTATACACACACACACACACACCTCCATATAAGCTGAAATCACAGGCCAAGTGTGCCCACAGGTGTGCCTGTGATCCTGACTGGCTGTACAGCTGAGGTGGGAGAAATATAGTGGGATAAGACCCTTTCATGGATGTTTGCATGCATCTTTCTCAAGAAATAGATGACCTTTTTTAAAATACTATAGTGAGCTTTTGGCCAGAGCTGCCATCTTCCAGTAATTCACCAAAATGACGAACACATGGGAAAGAAAAGAGGTACCCGATGTATGTTCTCCAGGCCTTTTAGAAAACAAGTGGTTGTTCCTTTGGTGACATACATGCGAATGAAATGCAAGAAAGGTGATATTGAGACATTCAGGGAATGGGTGTTGTTCAAAAAGGAATGTTCCACAAATGTTACCATGACAACACTGAAAGTGTGTACAGTGTTACCCAGCATGCTGTTGGCATTGTTGTAAACAAGTTAAGGACAAGATTCCTGCCAGGAGAATTAATGTGGGTATTGCACATATAAAGCACTCTAAGAACAGAGATAGCTTCCAAAAATGTGTGAAGGAATATGATCAGAGAAACAAAGGAAGGGGCCAGCAGGTGGCCTGGTGCTTGGGGCACTGGACTCCTACGTGACCAACCGCAGGTAGAGTCCTGGACCTGTCAGCTTCTTTCTCACTCTCTCTCTCTCTCCCCGTCTCTGATGAGCACATGTGCCCAGTAGCAAATTTAAAAATAATAATAATAATAATGATGATGATAAATAAATTAAATAAATAATTCTTTAAAAGAAAACAAAGTCAAAGAGAAAGTACGTGGATTCAATGAAAACACCAGCCTCCTCCACCCAGAGAAGCACACTCTGTGAGAGCCAATGGAAAGGAGCCTGAGCTTCTGGACCCTATTCCCTATGAATTCATGCATAATAGGTGTTAAAAAGAAATAAAAAGAACTCTGGACTGTTAAGGAAGGAAAAGCTACAGTTAAAATTCTACTGGCCTAGATTCTAGTTTAGGAAATAAATAGACATGGTGGAGAGGGAAAAGAAGGAAAAATATCAAGGCACCAGAATTCTGAGCATAGACTATCAACAGTTTCTTATTTTTACTCACAAATCCTTTGAGTCCAATTTACTCTTATTGTTTGTTTAACCGCTATTAATTTTATCCGAATACAGCTCTGCCTACTTTCTAAAGCCTTCTTGAAGAATCATACTGATAAAGTACTCAGCTGAGTGGTTAAATTGCCATTTGCACGTGCACATGGAAACGGCTCTGGTTTGGTGGGAGGAAGGGCAGGGGGAACTAGAGTGTCACAAAAGGTTGTAGAGCAAATTTCAAGGTATCTGCCACTCAGAGATATTCAATTTGAGGCATACGGAATATAAGACAGGTATGTCTGTAATTGAAGCTGACATTAACAGTGTCTATTTCCTGTGTTTAAGGAGCTGGAATATCAGAAGTCTCAACCACCACAGCCTGGAGATAAGTTTGTGTCCGTTGTCAGCCAGTTTATCACGGTAGCCAGCTTCAGCTTCTCTGACGTTGAAGATCTTCTAGCAGAAGCTAAAGACCTGGTAAATTTCCCTCTTGCACAATGAGTGTGTTTAACAGGGCTGGGCTTTAATTTGGTGCTGGCTGATATCATACTCTACAGGAAACAGCCGGAATGAGATCCAAATATCATTCAGGAATGAAATCCAAATATCATGGCATAGGAAATCAAGTAGCAGACAATGGTTTTCCAGATTCCTTGTTCTGTGTAACATAGGTGTATTTCCATGACCGGGTCTGCAATTAATTGAAACATACCCTTTTGTCTCACTGGCGTATGTTGCTATTATGTTAACAAGATCTTGAAAGTGCTGAATGGTATAAAGCCAGTCAATACTATGACAATTTCCTCTTGGCTGACATTGGGTTAAAGTTCTTATCTTTGGGAACTAGAAAAGAATACATGATGAAAACTAGGGGCAAGTTAGAATTTGAGATCAGATGTGATTAAGGCCATGTGCCTTATCACCTCTGTGTAATATATTCCTCTGAGTTAGAGCTCCAGCACAGACTACTACTTCCGTAAATCTCCAGCAGAACTTACTAAATGAAATATTTTTTAATTTGTAGCCTCACTACAAGAGGTGTTTTGTTTCTAGTAAGACATTTCTTTTTATTATTTTTTCCATTTCAAAATTTTATTTTCCAAAAGGTTTGAATGGCTAATAACCAGGAACTTGAAATAGCACCCCAACCCCTTCTTACTCTCTCTCAGGTTATTTCCACTTCCCAAATGCATATGCATTCATGTACCTATACATATACACATGCTCTCATTTTCTCCCTTATCATTGTTTATAAATGATGGTAGAGCTTCTACCCCACTCCGCTTGCTCTTCTACACTGTCCATCTCTCACTTGCTACAACACACTTTTGCTTTTATTTGAATCTTTCCTTCAACACTTGAGTAAATTGATATCATTTTTCTGTGGTCACCTGTTAAAGGTATGGGTGATAATTAAGGTAAGGGCATACCCATACCAGTTGTGTTAGTCCATTACTATTGGTATAACAGAAATATCTGAGACTGGATGAATTATAAAGAAAAGAGGTTTATTTGGCTCACAGTTCTGGTGACTGGAAAGCCCAAGAGCATAGAACTGGAATCTGGTTCTGCATCACCAGATGGAGAGAAGTAGCAAGGTCAGTGGGTGTGTGCAGAGTGACCTGTGGTTGGCTCACTTGCTTTCATAACAGTCTGTTCTCGTGGGAACTAATTAGGAAGCACTGTGATGGCCTTAATCTAATCGGGCAGAATTGGCCCCACTGTCCCAACACCTCTCACTATATCCCACCTCTCAGTAGTGCCACGTCAGTTTTCAAATTACAGCAAGTTTGGGGTGGGAACATAACATTCAAACTGCAGTAACAGTTAATGTTCAGAAGACTGATTATCAGCTCATTTTAATTTTAAATTCCCTCTTCCATCTTAGTAAGTAAATAAGAAGACACTATTTATGCAAATAACCATGATTAGAGATCCAATCTCCGACATCCCAAAATGGTAATCAAGTCAGCTGATATCAGCAACCATAGTTCAAACCTCTGCTGTAAAAGCCCCATCCATGTCTTACGTGTGCCTCACCACCTTGGAATACGCACTTCGAATAGGAAAAGACCCACCTCTCTCCGCCCTTGCCAATACCCCAGCCAGCCGATACAGCAAGCACCTGCTTCATTCAAGGACTCAAGCACTTTTATAAGAATCAACTAGATGGCTAGTTTTTTAAACATAAACCACCACTATTGGTTTGTTGTTTGGGAGGTTTTGTTTGCCTTTCTTTCTTTCTTTTTTTTCTTTTTTTTTTTTTTTTTTTTCTTAAAGAAATTTTTGCTATAGGGCGCATGCACTCACTGGAGACACAGAAAGTGAGAAATCACCTCCCGAGGGGATGGCCACACTGCAATCCCTTCTTCTCCATTCTTCTCTTGGGATTTTGGGCATGCACGCACATGCACCTAGCATGTTTCAAGTCACCCAGGTACAGGACTCAAACCACAGGTGGCCGTGTGTCAGTCCAGCTACGTAACCACTACCTCGTCTCCTGGTCCCCTTGCTTCTTTATTTTTTTGCTTTTTAGTATGGGAACTTTAATCTGGGCCTGGCTTTCTTTAGATTCCTAAGACTAAAATATATATGACTTCATCATCACTAGAATTCCTAGATGAAAAGATCATTCAGGACAGTTTGGAGTGTACAAACTTAAATATTTTTGAAATTCAGACTGTCTGTTGCTATTTGTTCATACCAGAACTTTTGGAAATTAGCTTATAAAACCATGGAAAAAGCCAGAGTACTGTATTTGGCATGTGAAGAATGTTATGTTTTTCCCTAAAGAACTCTTATTTCCTAATAGAATATGTCCAAATAAGTAAGGCATTGAAAAGAAATACTCAGTAAAAAGAGAAATGGCAAAAAGAATATTTTTATTATAAACTTAAAGATGTGAAATAATTATAAAAATCATATAATTATAGATGCACTCAGTCGAAAGTATTTTATGAGAGATTTTTTTTTTCCTGTGTGTGTGAGCTCACCAGAGAGACAGAGAGACAGAAAGTGAGAAATCACACCCCCAGGGGGCATGACCATGCCACAATTCCTTCTTCTCCATTCTCCTCTTGGGATTTTGGGCACACACGCACGCACGCCAAATGTGAGTTTAAGCCACCGGATCCAAGACTCAAATCACTGTCGACTACATGGGAGTCCAGTGACAGCCATTACGCCAACTGCCGGTCCTGAAAGTATTTTATTTTGAGAATAAATATTCAGAACATTTCCATTAAGGTTGATAGTAATAACTGGAATATCAGACAAACTTAACACAAGTAATGAGAGAAAAGTAAAATCAATTAGAAACTATTGGTCTGGGGGGAATTGCAAAAGCACATTATGATCTAAATGTGAAGGAAATTAAAAATATGAAAAATTTTAAATAGTTAATTTGGCATAGGAAAAAATAATTCATGTGAACTTTGAGCTAGGAGTATAGTTCTAGCTTAGGAGTAGCAGCATTCGATCCACACAGAGGGAAGTACAATTTCAATAATTTGACTGGTATTGAGTATTATTTAGGTAGTTATAAGTAACATTAAATATAGTATTTTGAAAGCATATTATCTCATTTTGAACATAACCACTAGGGGACCAGCAGTTAGCATAATGGCTATGTTGCTGGACTCCCATGTAGTCGACCACGGTTCGAGTCTTGGACCCGGTGGCTTAAACTCACGCCAGGCGCGTGTGCGTGCATGCTCAAGATCCCGAGAGGAGAACGGAGGAGAAGGGATTGAGGCATGACCATCCCCCTGGGGGGTGATTCCTCGCTTTCTATCTCTCTGTCTCTCTCTGTCTGTCTAGTGAGCACACACGCCCTATAGCAAAAACCTCTCCAAAAAAAAGATAACCACTAGAACCAAAAACAGAAGCAATTAACAGAGAGACTGGGGGCCAGCAGATGGCGTAGTAATTTAGGTGTTGGACTTCCATGTGGCTGCCCATGGTATGAGTCCTGTACTTGGCAGCTTGAAACTCACACTGGGCGCCTGTGCGTGCATGCTCAAAACCCCAAGGTCAGAATAGAGGAGAAGAGATTATGGAGTGGCCATATTCCCTAGGGGGTGATTTCTCACTTTCTGTCTCCCTCTCTCTGGTGAGGGCATGTACCCTATAGCAAAAATCTCTTTAAAAAAAAAAAAGAGAGACTGGATATGTTATTGTTACTTTATACATGTATTTATTATTTAAATTCTTCCTTTATATTTTTCATTTTGGCTAGTCAAAAAGATTGGCATTGAAACAGGTTCTGAAACAAAGGGTTTGGAATAAAATTATATTCTCAGTCATAAATTTGGGGTTGCATTAAAGATTCCATAATCAGTTAATGTTTTCTAATTAAGGTCTGGAAAATATCATAACATCATGACAATACGAGCATTATTTATGATTAACAAAAGCAGCTAAGAAGCACTGGATCCCATTTGCTTTCAATATTAACCATATGGCACCAATAAATGATATTAAACTACTTCAAAGAAAAGTTAAAAGTACAAGTTTCTCTACCCCTGCTGAGTTTGCTATTAGTTTTATGTCTCGGGTGTTCTGCTCTACGATATTTTGCTTTCTTGTTTTTACTACTGTTTAGTTAATAAAAAGTCATAGGAGGTAATCATAGATGGTAAGCTGAAATGAGGTGGACAGGAATAAATGGCTTGAAAAGAGGGGCATTAAAATTTTTACTTTAGATGAATAGATTTGCAGGCAAAGTTAAATATAGGCTCACTAAAACCCATCAAGTTATATTTGACTTCATTTGAGCTTAATCCATCTAGAGAGATTTATATTTGATCATGGAATTCTCCTGGAACACTGACCTTCTTTACATCTTCTCTTTTTTTCCAGTTTACAAAAGCAGTAAAGCACTTTGGGGAAGAGGCTGGCAAAATACAGCCAGATGAGTTCTTTGGCATTTTTGATCAGTTTCTTCAAGCTGTGTCAGAAGCCAAACAAGAGAATGAAAACATGAGAAAGAAGAAGGAGGATTTTTTAGAGCGTCGAGCTCGCATGGAAGCTCAGGTTAGAGGGTGATCAGTTGACCAGTGCCAGGAAAATCTACTGCTGCAAGCCCTTGGTTTTTAGATGGCTTTCTGATGTGCACGCAAAAAAAGGCATTACCGTACTCTACAATTCTAGTTTAAAAATGGTATAAACTTTCTCCTGGGTAATTGGATAGTATAGATCCAAAGGCTTAATAAATACATCCACATCTTTGACCCAGAGCTTCAGAAATCAATATCCTGGGTCTATTTTTTAAAATTATTTAATTTATTTATTCATTCATTTATTTTTTAAATTTGACCAGAGAGAGACAGAGGTTGAGAGTGAGAGAGAGAGGAAGTGAGAAAGCAAGCCACCAGATTCAGGACTTGAACCCTGGTGGGCCATGCAGGAGTGTCCAGCGCCTTAACCACCATGCCACCTGCTGGCCCCTATCCTGGGTCTATTTAATAGTGAGAATTTTCTCCTTCCATTACAGAAACATGAATTGCCCCATTTGATCTGTTTTTTAACTACTTTACCATGAGATTGACCAAAGACGAGGGTCTAACCACCATGTAGTGAAATTTCTTGCTCTGTGGGGAGACCTCATGTCCCCACCCTCTCAGCTCTTTTTTTTTTTTTTGGAGAGGTTTTTTTTTTT